GCCCAACACCTATCTAATAAAATTACGGAATTGGTCAATAAAGATTGCTATGGATGTCAAAACGATCATCCCAGTCAAATTCAACACGATAAATGTCTAATGATGAGCCAAGAAAACAATTGGAGGAGTATCTGAACGAGGCTTTACAGAAGAAATTAAGAAAGACAAAAAAATGGACTGTGAAATACAGACTTAGGAAACAGAAAGTAAAAGAAAAACATCAGCAGCATCATCAGGAACCAAAAAAAGGTTTTGTGTACTGTCAAGTAGACACTAAAGAATTTTCTTTCTCTTGTCGCAGAGGCAGGCCGTATTGTACGGAAAAGACTGCTTTCAAAAAGGGATGCAATCTTAGACAATGCAAAAGATTGCCATTACGCCCGTGAACAAAAAACAGCCATTTTCAGGGCTTCCCAATACGCTCAAAAAGACATACACATTCAATTTGCCAAAACGTTTAAAATTTTAAAAACTTTAGAAGTGTGTCTGTAAGCACTACCTTTCATTTTCTTTTTAGGAAAACAAAATTCCACTTATTGCTTTCTCTGTCTTGTCCAATCGTGCTTGTCTCTGTAAGTAAAAAAGTAAAAAAGTCAACGTGAGTGCCTCTCTTAAGTCGTTTCATGTAATGGCAAGTTTATGTGTTAAGGGATGTTTACCTTCATGTCCGTGCTTCAAGTATGCAAAGCGTCAAAACTGTCAGTCTAGATACCCATCGTTGACTCATCAACTCATCATTTGACAGGAATAAGGACCACAACATATGATAACATCATCTCTAAAACTCTAGACAGTATTATTAACATGGCTGGTTCCATGAATTCCAAAATTATATTTCCCTATCAAAATATCTGCTGACGATATGTGTTCGATATCAATAAGGGAATCTATTTATTCTGGGCTGTTTAACTACATTATATACAACAGATTGATTGAAAATACGTACAGAATTAAATTTTGTCATATTTAACATTCAGACATTCGACATCTCTACAGATCAGATAATAGAGCGAACATATCCATCTCAAAGGTTTCTTTCCGCTACAGCTAAATTAACAGCAGATTAACAAAACAGATGGAACTACAAATGAACCTGGAGTATGCCAGTTGTCTTTTATACGAACTTACTACGGTTGCCATAAAGCAGAAAGGAAGGATTGAAAAGGAGAAGAAAAAGAAAAAAGGAGAAGGAAATAATCCTGACTCACATCTTTATAAGACTTCAGTGTGAGATGAAGTCTGAGGTGAGGACGCCTCCACAACCAGGACCAGCACACGCATCATTTGGGAGAAGGATTGGAGCCGGAGATGCGTGTGTGGTACTAGGCCAAAAAAGTGCCACCATCAGCTATGTGAATTTGGAGTTTTTATAAACAGCCCTTCTCAGGGCTAGCCATATCTCTAGAAACAAGGAGAGATGATTCAATTTTCCTATTCGAGTTAACGTTGTGTACTATGGGTATATATATATATATATATATATATATATATATATATATATATATATATATATATATATATATATATATATATATATATATATATATATATATATATATATATAGACACACACACATACAAATATATATATATATATATATATATATTTGTATGTGTGTGTGCCTATATGTATATATATATATATTTGTATGTGTGTGTGTCTATATATATATATATATATATATATATATATATATATATATATATATATATATATATATATATATATATATATATAACGTAAATATAGAACTTGTATTGTATGAGTCCATTTCACGCCGATAGATAAGTCATCAAGTAGCAAGTTTATTTCCATTATTAGAAAACGTATAAAACATACTATAAGCGTACGTATCCGAAAATACTTATCTAGATCATGGTTTTGTCGTTGAGTCGCAGCAAAATAAAATATTAAATTCTAATGTTATTTTATGTAACTTTATGAAATTAACGAAAGTAGATCAAAGCAGTCTCTGTTTTTGGTCGCTAATAAGACGTAATTAGCTGTAGCGGAAAGAAACCTTTGAGATGGATATGTTCGCTCTATTATCTGATCTGTAGAAATGTCGAATGTCTGAATGTTAAATATGACAAACTTTAATTCTGTACGTATTTTCAATCAATTTGTTGTATATAATGTAGTTAAACAGCCCAGAATAAATAGATTCCCTTCTTGATATCGAACACATATCGTCAGCAGATATTTTGATCGGGAAATATAATTTTGGAATTCATGGAAACAGCCATGTTAATAACACTGTCTAGAGTTTTAGAGATGATGTTATCATATGTTGTGGTCCGTATTCCTGTCAAATGACATATTTCCCATGTAATAAGGGGCGTATGGAATAATATATTAATGTCGTTGGACAACTGAATTTGTGGCATTTCTCTAACTGGAAAAACCCAACATTCTTGCTTATCTAAACTTTGTCCAAAGACCACTGTTGAATGAAGCAAAGCTATCTCATTTCAGGTAATTTCACCTTCGACAACAATCTCTGTGGATGGACTCTTTATCCGTACGATCTGTGGACATGGCACACTGCTGATGGTAATTAATCTATTACTTTAAGGACTTACAGTACGTACGTAATGCCTCAATTAACTCATATTTACTTGCATAATTCTTTTCTTCCTCCCATCCTTTCTTACTTATTTATTTGTTTGCTTCAGACCGTCAGTAGCTGTTTTAGTAGTGCTGCTTAAGTAGTAGTAATAGTAGCTATATGTGGTGTTGCAACATTCGTAATAGCTTGTAGGGCGAGAAAAAATAATACACGATAGTGAATGCCTTCGGCTTAGCCATAGATGCCAGTAGTAATTGCGACTGTTAGTCGTAGCAAGAACAATAGTTTTGTGTGCAAGATACTGCATTTTTTACACATTATAATTTAACTTTCGTTGATATATTTGACTTGCTGATGGTTTCGTTGTTTTACTTTTCATATCCTTTATTATGTTGATGATTAGAGCATCCTCTTGTTTGATGTTTATTCGTTATGTCAAGCGGGGCAACAATATTAAAAAAGTAAAATTATTTTGAAAAATAAACGATGGCTAAAATCAACAATGAATATAAATTAATAGACGTTATTGCTGTATGCGTGGCAGTAACTTGTTTTCGTCGAATCGTTTTTTTTTTTAAAAATACATAATCTCTTGAAAAAATTTGGCGAACTTATCAACATCTTTACAGTAAGTGGTCAAAACCTTTTCGTGGGTTTTAGGGTGTCTATCATGGCAAAATGCATGAGTCATATATGTCGGCGGACCTATGTGCAAAGTAATTCAGAGAAGTTCAGTTATTGCTCTTTATTTGATTGACAGATACTGTAGTTGACAGAGCAAGATGAAGTAGCACTCACACTACAGAAGTAGTTTAGGATACTGCAGTAGTTGTAGTTGTAGTAATAGCTGCAGTACTAGCAATATATACCTTTCTTCCACATTTAGTTCTGGCGAATATAGCGCGAATTCATGAAGATCTAGTGCCTTCTAAGACATTTCCAGCTAACGCTTGTCTCCCGATACAGTGATGCCTTTCAAAGTATTTAAAATCCAAAAATAGCTCGAATCTTTTTTTATTGCTGATACTATTAGTTTGTCCGCAATTATAATAATTATACTGACCACTCTTGTTATGATTTCCAATCCTGTTAAGGTAATTTTCTTCGACATGACATATTATTTTGTACTGTTCCTGTGTCGCACACTTCTCTATTTGTCCAGTCATTGTTTTCGCTATCTGTGTCAATGTGGCCACTTGTATGTTGATACAAATAGGTTGCGTCAATAGTTTTATATTTTAAGTACTATCTATAGTATTTTTTCTTATAGTCATGCACTCACTGGATTAATTTATTCTACTTATGCGATTTGAATATTATGTTTTATGTTTTCAAACATTTCAATATATAACACTTCTATCACACATTAAGTCGTAAAGATTGGAATTGAATTAACGTAATATATGTAAAACCATTGGTCGATGCATGTACTAAAATAAGCTATAATGATATTACCCTTCGATATGAAATAATTATTGTTTAGAGTGAACAACGAGTGTCCAGGATTTACCATTCCCAAGCATTTTCTTTCTCAAAACAACTGCAACGACTTGATTGAAATCTTTTATGGAGTACACGCTCTCTTTACCAATACATAAATTTCAGGCAATAATTACTATATTCATCCGAACGCACATGACTGGCAGACACACCGACTACGTCTTGAAAGTGTTCCATTGGAAGCTACAGGTCTTCAGTGTTTAACATTTGACTATAGGACGCGACGCATTACGCCAGCAATAAGATTCAGCGGTGACCTCAACGTATCCTTGGTCAATGATCGCTTTGAGCACCATCTGGTATACTTGCAGGAAGGAAATTATGATGACGTATGGCAAAGGTTTTTCTTAAATGTGGATAATGTCCAAAATTATATGGCTGCCAAGATTCGTTTCTCTGCATCAGTGACATCTTGGGAAGACATGTATCTAGACAACATTCAGCTTTTCAGTGGATACTGTAGATGTAAGACCTTATGTTTATAACTATTATTTTCAATTGCACAAGTCAAACGTCTTTAAAGCTGAATAAATCAGATTTATAGTTATGATATTGATACACCTGGTATTTGTTCATAGAATTACAAACAAAACAGTCACTGCTTAAACCCATTCATCAAACAAGTGTTCGACAAGAATTTAGCATACTGATGATAAATCCACGTTTATCGTTCCATTTATGCATAGACCATATTGATAAGTGTGTGTGTGTGTGTGTGGATTTGTAACGTAGGTTAAACAATATTTCAGTCATATCGTGATGTCTGCAGCGTGGCAGATTATAGTGATGTCTAGCACATAGTGGCGCAAAAAAGTAGCATGATATCCCACCAAGGCACATATAATACATGACCGACCAGTACTAACACTAACCTTATAATACCGTGCGTCTAGCGAGGCAGCTGATAGTACCATTTTATAAGACTTTGGTACGAGTCGGCCGGGATTCGAACCCGCAACCTCTCGAGTTTGAGGCGGACACTCTAACCACTAAGCCACCAGAGAAGTTCCATAATGAATAGATAAATAGAATTGCGTTACAAAATAGGTACATACATTTTTGAAAATGCCTTTTGATATTTCCATATGTTAGGCGTTTTGTTTACTGTTCCATCATTGGTGATATCACCAGAAAATACACGTAAATCTCTTCAAAATACACTTGTGTTGCCAATAATATAATCCCATTGCAACAATACTGTCTGGAAAGGGCTCTATGATCAAATAACTAAATTCTATTAACGCTATTTTCCATTGTAGTTGAATGTAACTTTGAGAATGATCTATGTGGTATAACTAACCACAACTTTCAAAGGATTGCTTACACTGGAGAATGGCCTGACCATACACGCAATACAGGTAAGCAGACACAAAGTGCATGTCTTTTTATATTTATATATATATATATATATATATATATATATATATATATATATATATATATATATATATATACACACGTTATCTATTTTGAGTTCATGGCTGCATATGACGGTCTTCACTGATTTGATTTTCACCTTTAATCTCATGTGCGTATTTACTTTCTTTAGAGGGATTTATTTTTGGACCATGTATATATATATATATATATATATATATATATATATATATATATATACATATACATGCATACATACATATAACTGTACATACATACATACATACATACATACATACATACATACATACATACATACATACATACATACATACATACATACATACGTATGTATGCATGAACATATCGTTTGCTTCGATTATCATGAATGATTAAATTAATTTGACAACATTTGATATGCATCGCGTCTTTAAGGATGCTCAAGAAAGTTAAAAATTTCGTCAGCGAGTTTTACAAACTAATTTGATGTACCATGCTGTTGTTCTGAACAACGATACATATAATCTTCATATCCTTGAGAGCAAAAAGGAAACATTTGTGATAGAGAAAATGTTTAGATGGACATCTATCACGAAAGAATAGATATATATTAATACATGTTAAACTATATTCAAACTCTCATCGGAAAAAGACTCACATCATTTGCATATCTGTATCTTGCACACCAGAGGGCTAACATCCAAAATGGGTAACACGACACACGATATTTAGTTAATAAACATTGCTTGTTGAAATCATTGTACAGTCAATATTTCATTTGTCACTTGTAATGTTCAATCTTCTGCCATAACGTTTCATCACGCTCTTTAAAGCTACATCGAACGGTGTATAGCTGACAAATAATTCAATTACAGATTATCAAAGTATTATTAATGCAATAATACTATTTTACTATTTCAGTGAGAGGTCATTACTTATCTCTTAAAGGGATACAAAAATCTGCCACTTTAGAGAATATAATGTTCTTCCTTTACGATTTTCAATGTATTACATTCTGGTATCGGATATACGGAAATACCTCTAGGATTTCGGTTATAGTCGAAGATACCGAAAAGAAAACAACTTTGAGGAGTTGGATGAAGTCGGGTGAATACATCGACACATGGTTTCCAGCCACCATTTACGCAGAGGTTCGTTACCGAACGTTGGTACAGATTCGCATTTCAGGACTATCTCCAACACATTACAGCAAAATTGGACTGGATGATATAGCCATATCGTCAGTATCATGTCTAGGTATGTATTATATACGTTATATGCTGTTTCTGATGATGCTTAAGTAGTAATAAAAAGGTTGATAATTACCAGCCACTTTATTAACCTACAGAAGACGTCTTTATATTTATAGAATTACAGTGAATAAATGAAAACAATGGAATGTATTATTTGCATCAGTGCATTAGACAGAAGCAAATTATATATATATATATATATATATATATATATATATATATATATATATATATATATATATATATATATATATTCATTTGCTTCTGTCTTCTACACATAAAACATTCCATAGATCTTTTCTAAGTTTTCCACATTCCGCGATCAAGTTTGGGTTATTTATTTTAAAATGCACTGCTGATGTTTCTGATATATTGCTAACATTTGCAATATATATAGTCTAACATATTTTGTTTACCTGTATGTTAACACACACTATATCTATATCTATATGTATATATATATATATATATATATATATATATATATATATATATATATATATAGATGCAATAAACTGACGACGAACAGTACGAAACTAGTAACTAACTAGCCTAAGCGCTTTCGACTCTTAATGAGTCTTTTTCAAAGGCAAATACAAAACATAGTTACAACAAACAAATAAACACAAAAACGTTGTGTTTGTAAACCTCTACATTTCTATCTTCACATGTGCTAAAACTATAAATACAACCAGCTTGTATAGACTAGTTGCGGAAACTGAAAACGTTGTATAATTCCCTAAAAGTCTACAAGCCAAAGCGACATCTATTTTTACTTTGTGTACATATGTAACGCAGATTATATCCCGGATATTTGATTCTATACCGGTTATTCTTATAGTACAAATTGAAGGATAATAAGAAGATTTAGAAAATGTTAAATTCTACTAGTGCATAGTTTTCATTTTCTAGTCTTCTTGGTTTAGACCGCTTGGTTTCAATGTTCTAAGGCGGCGTATACAGTATGATTCCTTTTCCTTCCTGGTTTCGGAACTTCAGGAGGCAGGGTACAGTTTCGTATTTTGGCCCCTGGCAAATTTCTTAACTTAAGGCTATGGTGTGACTTTTTCAGCAATTATTGTCTACTAATTAAATATATGGATATATTTGTGAGCTAGGTGTTTCGGGCTTGTGTTGCTCTTGAAATTGATGTCAGGCATGTACACCTTCCATAGTTACTCTGCAATATGTTGATAGTGAAATACCAATAGTTGTCTACGAAGAAGAGCTAGCCTCTCGTAACAGTAAACATGTGGGTTTGGGACAAGGAGCATATCTCAAAAACGGCTTGGATGACAACTATTTTCAACTGCATCGGCCTGTTTAGTACACACTGTTTGGCAGAATTGTAATCTAGGAAAAGGGCTTGTGTTTGCACTGTGAGTACCACATGGTGTCAAAAATGACCTTCGGACATGAAAATTGCAGGTATAAATTTGGGGTTGGGGTGCATAAACTTCTTCTGCTATGAACTGCCACTGACTTCTCTGGTCAAGTGGATAATATTTTTATGCTTTGTTTTAATATAGGTATCTCAAAATATGGACATTCTTGACCTCACTTGTGTATTTGATTTTTTATGATTTTTTGTACTAGGTCACTGATTGCGGCATTAAATTTGTACATAAATACTGGACCCTGCCCCCTTCAGCTGTGGTTGTTAGCAATAGCGATAAGTATTATATCACTGAAAGTGTGGCCAGGGGAGGAGAAGTGTTCTGCGACCGGGCTTCTTTTTTGTCATCCATACGCCGCCTTAGAACAGTAAGTATTATTCGCTATGCATACATTTTAGAGATTACTTCCAGTATTCCGAGAAAGCATAATTAGCGATGAAACGTTGTAAAAATACACTTTCCAAAGTATATATTAAATTTTTTAATTACGTTTTTATGCTTCATTTTATATCATGCTCATATCAAAGTAATTTGAAGTTAATCATATCAGAAAGGTTGTAAATATTCCGTAGTTGAAAAAGTGTCAAAAATGGTAAGAATTTAGTGACCTGTGCAATACCTAAGATGCATTTAGGAAGGTTGAATCCGTTGGACAAGATACATGCTAAATATGTGTATGAACAGATTATGTTTAAGTACGAGTTTCATCTCCTTTTGTAATGCAAAGGAAAGCACGGTAGGTTTTAGATACTCACAAAGTATCTGTGTCATTAGGGTTCTGTTAGTTTTTAATAATTTATCACACGTATCCTTATGGGTTCAACTTCAGCTGTTCGTGACGCGTAAGGGTTGGTGCACTTTGATATCTTTAACAAGATAGTTCAGATCACATTGTTTTGCCTTCGAGTTCCAATGATGCTATATGTCATATGTCAAATAAATAATTTGAAGCGCCCTCCCAGCGCAAATGCTGTAAGAAAGAGGCAAAACTTCACTCCCTCGATAGTCTTCAGTGAAATCCAAAGAGGTGTCCTTTCACGCAGGTTGATAATGGTGATGTATTTGCTGCTGTGAAAACTTAAGGTAAAAGTCAAATTCCATATAATGACGGGTATAATAACATATATTTTAATCAGCTGAGAAAATTCACGAATGTAAAATTATATATTTGAAATATATTGGAGTAATTATGATGAGAAAAGGACTATGTTCGTTCATATCTGATACTTCAACATCTACGTGCCTTGAACAGTTTCATTAACGTTAGAAAATATTAATTTTTAATCGTTTCTACTAAACAATGCCCGGACTAAATGTTGCTTTTGTCAATAAACTGAGAATTCGGCTACGGTGTTAAATATGTTTTTGCTTTATATATGTATATATATATATATATATATATATATATATATATATATATATATATATATATATATATATATATATATATATGTATATATATATATATATATATATATATAGTGTTCAAGGCAGCTATTTTAGTTTGTACCATCATCTCTTCAAAATAATTCATATTTAAAGTAGTGTATGCATAAACTTCTCGATTAAAACTGAGCGACAATAACTTGAAAATATATTATTAATACATAGTAGCGTTTGGGGTATTGGCGGCATGACCTCTATAACATAATGATCTGAGTTGGATTATATCATAGCACAGACATAGAAAGCAATTTCTTAAATTGGATTTCTTTCTTTAATGTGATGGAATAAAATTAATGAATCTGACACCAAATTCGTGTTCATATCATTCAACAATTGATTTAACAAAATGATGACAATCATGTTTAACAGAGGAGATAAGGAAAATGATATTGTTCCTAAATGAACCTAATCATAAGATCTGACTTAAAAAGAGTAACCATCTAGAGTCAAGTGATGGAACTTATGAACAAAACATATGATAGACTTGTATATATATATATATATATATATATATATATATATATATAT